TTAGAACTCTCCATTGCACACCGCCGCTATTTGCAAACGTGCACCCAAGTCTAGTGTTGCAAATCACAGAACGCCTTTAAACAAATTACGGTATTTTATAGTAACAAACTGACCTCATGACAACAAAACAATACTGTAAATCTCAATCCTATAAAGTCTTCGAGTTGTTGAGGCTAGTTTTCTCTACCAAACCGCAAATGACAGCTTAAGTATCTCAACTTTGAACCAAACTATAAGCAAAGCTAGTGCGCTGATGTGAGTTACTTACTGATCTGAACCATACTTCCTAAGAAACTTTAAAAACGTAGCTATATTCGTAGCACGCGCTACGACTCCGTAGCAAAACCGTACCGCGCGTAAAGTGAAAAGTGTTTGTGTAATTGTGCGCATTCAAAGTGGTATGAAATGAATGAAAATTTCAACAGCAACTTTACGCTTTTATTTACAAAAGCTGCAAGCATTTTATTTAAAGAAGCAGGAGGCAGACTTTTAATGTATGTAATTCTGGCTTTAAGGAATAAAAATGTTTAACTCTATAAAATGCTTCTATTTCTCCCGCGAAGCTCAGCGTGTTTTTTCATAATTGAGTTGGTACCTAAACTGTTGTGTTTATGGTAATGTTAGCAAATGTTTCTCCCTGTTAGTAAATTTTTCTCCCTGGTTCCTCCCTTGCGTGACGTTGTTACTCATCGCGAAACATAATTTTGTAAAATTGTAGGTTATATATAATAAGTAAGACAGAAATAACAGCTGAAAATTATTATTATTATTGTAGTTCGAAATATAATTGCATGTTTTTGAAAGACGATGAAACTAAAACAACTCGTATTTTCCGCAATCCACTGCACACAACAAGGCAATCTTCACAAAAGCAGAGCCGTTTAAAACACAAAGAAGAGCCGACTTCGAATAACTTGGGGAATAAATATCTGGTGTGAGTTTATGAAGGTTATTTACGGGACACAGGTGCGAAGTGCGGGTAATTTATCAACGAGGGTTCGCTGAAGAATTTGACTACGCTGAGGTTGCAGCTTAGCCCACTGGGAGATTTGGCGGGTCTTCAAATGAAGATGAAGATATTAGATAGGATAATCAGTTAAGTGTTTTAAGGTTCTGATGATATGTTTGTAAGCTTGGCGTCTTCACGCTTAGTCTACTCGTGACCATGGAGTGTGATATCGCTTCGAAATATCGAGGTAAACAAAATACTAATCGCGACAAAAATTCCGGTCTAAACCATAATTTTAGTGCAGTCACTACTAGCCGCAAAATTTTAGTAAACCATAATTTTAGTAGTGACAGGATAGTGTTTCATAGCGTACCCTGCCTAGGAAAGCCTATGTCCAGTAGTGGACTGCTATAGGTACTGATGTGATGTAAGATATGTTAAGATAAAACACGCAACATGGCAATTATTATTCGACTTGTCTCTTTACATTTCCTGATGCTAGATAATACTTGGATATCTAATCTAGGTACAGACAAACTTCAACTACATATAAAATAAAGTTTTCACAAGGCTACCTTGCCTTGCGGTTTTTTTAGGTACATAACAATACCTACATGATTCGGATATAGTGTTTGTGCCAAAAATATATTGTACAATCTTTATTCTATGTGAACAATTTTGTAATCTAACGTGTATTTGTAATGAACAAGAAACAAACTTTCAAAAAGAAAATCCAAGGAAAATACTGTAAAGTAGATTTTTTCTTTCCCCTTTGGTCTATTTCCCCCCACACCCCTCCCCCCCTTTGGCAAAGAGGGTCGAGGCTGCGTCCGATATTGGTGGCTCGTCAAAGAAACTTTTTATCATTTTTAGAGTTCTGTATTGAAATGATTTAATAGAGTTCTCGGCATTCGGATGCCGAAAGGCGGACGTGTAATGTATTTGATGGATAACACTGATTTGACAACTGTCATAATCATACATACCACACTAGACAAAGACAAGGTAAGATCAAACGACTATGAGCTAGTTAGTGTTCTACATGATAAACAACATAAAAAAATCGGTAATTGGTATCAAATTTCTTTACGGAGGCGAATATTACAAGACTACCAAGAAAAATAATTATTCCCGCGGTAAAAGTTATTAGGTAACTTTATTATCTATCAAGAATAATCTACTTTCCTACGCAAAAAGAAAGGTATTGTAAAGATTATAAATAACATACAGTAAATACACGCAATGTGAATAATAGTGAAGAATAAGAAAAGGTGACCGGAATTTCTAAGCGGAATTGTCTTTGCATAAGTTAGACTCGCGCTTGACCGGTTTTTTCTTTGAATTCTCTAACATCTCGTTAACTTTGCGCTGTGAAACCATCGTTATGGATGTCGCAGATGAAAATTGAATTACATTAACTAGACCGTGGGCACAAGAATAATAATTGGAAACTGGACTGTACAGTTCCTTTAGTTAGAAGTTAGTTATTTTGTAAGTACATGTATGTTTTATGTAGAGTTTGAGTTTAAATATTCCGGTTTTGGCATTCCAGAAACCTATACCGCGTGTTGTGTAACCGGCAATCGGGCATTTATTCAAACTGGTAAACAACTTTTATTATAGACCTATAAGTCTGCGAAAAAAATAAAATAAAGGCAGCTCACCCATTTTGCTGAAGCAGCTATCAGGTTTTTTTTTTTTAATTTCAGCTGTTTCTTTTTCCTGGTGTTACAGATGGTCTCATAGCACATAGTGACAATAGTTCAAATAAGTTGATGCGTTGACTCACCTATTTGATTAAATGCTGCCTTACTTGCCGGTAACACTCCGTATATTTGCTGGTAACTCAGCTGTAGATAATTTGAAAATTTTACTAGCACGGACGGAGCAAGTGAATTGGTCGCTATATGCGAAATGCACATATCTGCAAGTTATTGCTCTTTATCATATACCACCGACTGTCGTCAGATTGCAGATGCGACTGATCTAGTCCTTCGAGCATCTTCCGTCCCGTTCCGCAAGGATCTAGTCAAATTTGGAACTTCGAAATAACTGAATAACCCATGAGACTCACAGAATATCTAAGCGAGATAAGCATCGCTTCTTAACAAAATTTCGGACCTCTCAAAACTGAAATCAAGTTTGTCAACTTCTTAATAAGCAAGATTCGGACTTCGTGGGGCGCAAAAAACGTTTTCAGTTCATGTCAACGTTTATATAATTTTTCAAAACTTGGTTTACAATTATAATATTGACCTAATCCAAAGGAAAATATTATATACAACTGGATACAACTATTTTATCTGTTAACAACACAGGCTGTCCCACTTTGAGCCCAATATTTTATCTGAAATGTTTCACTAAACTTACACAACTTGTAAACTTTCTTATGCTGAGTTACCTAACCTTTGGAACTTTTGCGCTCTATCACTAACACCAATAGTAAAGGATAACAACGTACTAGAAAAATCTTTGGGTCACTTACTGGACACCCTGTACAGTTACTTTGGCTATAGGCCGTAATCTTGACTAGGGTGAGAGATGCTGATATGTTAACTGATGGATGACGACACGTTATAACAATCACTCGTGTGGTACCTAAGTGATGATGATGACTGATAGATAACAGACAACTTACTTAATTTTCTGGGTCACTAACTGGGACACCTTGTATAGAATAAGGTACCGTGGCTATGGCCCGTCATCTTGACTAGGGTGAGTCATGCTGATAGATAACTGTTGACAATACGTTATTTTATTACAATCATTATTATTAAACCGTTTATTGTACACATAGGATAGGACAAATTAACAACATGTCTACTTATTTCTAAAAAGAAATCTCTTCCAGTAGATCTAGGGTAGTGAGATCATTCGTGTAGTACCTAAGTGTTGATAATTGATAACTGATACCTACAGATAAAAGACAACTTACTTGAACATTTTCCGGCTCACACTGTATAGTATAAGCTACAGTGGCTACGGCCCGTCATCTTGACAAGGGTGAGTGATGCCGTGATGCTGATAAATCACCCCACGTCTCCCAGCTGGCAAGTGGTTCCTTCCTTCCGCCCGATTGTAATAACGGGATGTGCCGTCTGAGTAAATGTTATGACGTATTCTAAATGGTAGCGATCGATATTGCGGATAGAATATCGAATACATCAAGGGATTATGTATACATCTTCTTTTGAGTGGGACACCGGGTCGTCCAAAGACCCGATGAAACATGATGTCCGAGTTTTTTCAACCGCCTACTACAATTTGCAGACCTCAGACAAAGTTGGGTAACGTCCGCCGTCTAAGTAATCACAGACAGAAACCGGGACCGACCGCTTAACGTGCCCTCCGAAGCACAGAACCATCTTACTTTCTGATAATCATGTGGTTTAGCCTGCAATGTCCTAACCAGACTGGTAACACATTCACAAAGTGATATTGTATACAGTATGTTACCGGTAGTCCATCAAATACAGTTATCCACCAACGTAAGTTAATGAATAAGTAGGTTATTTTAGACATGATGATTAACACAGCGGTACACATATTTTATCATTTAAGATTTGAGACGATAATGTAAATTAGAAACTAATAGCCGCTTTAAAAAGAACAAAACAAACTCAACACATCCTAAAACGATTACATTGTCGCTTAAAACTTAAAGGGTGGACATTAAACAAGCAACTATAAAGAAGTTCAAAGCATTGTTAGCGGCCCATATGTGTCACGTCGCTACAACGCGTGAAAACAGTGAACAAAGGTGCTCTTTGTAAAACAACGACATTACAACCCTAGTCCTTTGTTGCCTAAATAAAGGATAAATGTCAACGGCACACTACGGCGGCGGCCCGCCTTTAACTCTATTTGTACATTGTTTAATGGGTATTCTATCTGTTGCAACTTGAGATAATAGGTATACGTATAGAATGGTTTGAATTCGTACTGTAAACTGGACTAACGGGACTAACTAAGTATCAAATCGAAAAAAAGAATAGTAGGTACTACAAGTCGCTGAACGAAATCGTCGCAAAAATTCGTTAGGATCTGCCAGACGCCGGTAGCTCATTTAGCAGAGCAAGTGGGACGGTACCCCATGGTCCCGGGTTCAAATCCCGGCCGCCGCTAACAAATTTTCCATTATAAGAATAATATATAGCAATGTACCTAAGTGCAATAACAATCCCAATACACCATCAAAATAATGATACGTTTAGAGTCAGTAAGGGAATACATGCATGATTTAAACTTGTACAACAATGTACCTAAACTTGAAAAACTCTGACACGGGTTAATCGGGTCGTTGGACGACTTGGTGTCCTATTCGAAAATAAGAAGAGGAGTGTATCTAAATATCGAGGGATAAGACCAATCCTGTCCAGTTTAATACAGTATTCTCGTGGAATTTACCTGCCATCAGACCTAACCTTAAAAGATTTACTGATTGAGTCTCCTACGACTGAATTTTCGGTATATCTCGAGAGCTATCATACATACCTTCCTAGTGTTTTCCATGCCGCCGTGCCGACGTAATGGAAAATTGAGAACACGGTTTAATTTTAATGGATTCATGGTAAAAAAACGAAAGGAACCAATCAAGTTTCACTGTAACAGATTACAGAACACAAGCCAACACGCCGGACAACAAAATCACTCCAGCCTACTTGAGCCTACACATGTACACATGTTTTTTGACCGCAACAGCTGTGGGCGGACGTGTGACGGTGTGTTTTTGCCACATCCTCTTCCGCCGCAACGGCGTTGCGATCTTGTTGGACCTTATTTAGCGAGTTAATTTACACTTTGTACAGAACATTTTAATACAATTCAAAATGCTCAATGCTTGATAGAGAAAGAGAGCGACGGGAAATAATTTGTGCTACGAAGTGTAGTTTATTGCTACGTCGTAGAACAGCTACGCTTGGTAGGCAGTAGGCATCTAAAAGGAAGATTAAAAGGGCCTTACCACCAAAAAGTTAGACGAACGTTGTACGTATGTTTAGTGTTTTTTTATTCATGAAGTTATTTTAAATACGCGTTCAACACTAGTCTAACTTTTCTGTGGTAAGGCCATAAACGTTTTCAATTATGAATATTCAATATTTTAATACTATTTTATAACTCAATACCAAATATTTAGTTTAGGATCGTTCGATGCAACTTTATTGGTAGTAATAACAACTTGTAAGATAACTGGTTCGGACCGGAAGCGCTGAGGTTGTAGGGTTGGCGGTTACCGACGTTGTTTGAACTGAAATAATGACCTGGATCAGAATTTATTCAGAAAGTTTCACACTGCAGTGCGTTCAGGCCCTATATTTCATACGTCTTGATGAAGATCCGTCTTAAAGAAGTGATACGAATCAAACAGAGAGAACTAAATTAGATTAGTCAGGTAAGTAGAGTGTGAAGCAATCGGTATGATATCTTTTAACTACCAAGTATTTCATTTTAGCCATGTGGGTGTCGTGTGTTGTAACAACATAACATAAAGCATGTATACATCACGCACACAATATATGGCGAGCCCTGAGAGAGATCTATGCCCTATATTGGACTGTTGTATGTAGTATTTTTATTAGCATAAATAAATACATAAAAATTACGTAAATACTATTGCCATCCCTATCCCGCGAAATTCTTATAGCCAAGAGAATTCCGTACAAATTTATAACTCGCATTCCTATAAAGGAAACTATGATGAAATTCTGATCATGTACGTACGATAATATAAAAAAGGCTTTTACTACTCTATTGATGAAAAACGCGACAAGACGGTATAAACTTATAGTTTGGCCAGTCAATCAGTTTTACTATCTACACGTTTTATAAAATGACTCAACTGAAGTAGCAATAAGGCCGCCAAATTGTACCTTTTGTTACCTTGATTTTAATTGCTTTTTACGTTTTATGTCACAAGTGCAATAAAGAATATTGTTATGGCCAAATCAAATAGGTAATGAATTACGCATACATAGATAATTTTACACACATTTTGGGTATTAAATATACGTAGAGCTGTTGTAGAACTCCAATTCCAATATCTACTCGCATTTTTTTTCGGTTATTTCGTTACCATAAGAGAAATAGGTGTATACGTAGGCATCTCTTATTCTACTTGTATACTTATACTTATACTTACTTATTGTGTGTTTAGTAATGAACGTAAGTAGTGGGCTCGTGGGCTGAGTAAGTACACTTTCTATACCAGCCGGCTGGCGTTTCACATCTAAAGCGGGAAATATTGGAAAATATGCGGATAAAGCCTCCATTATTATTTTCCGTAGAAAGGGATTAAAACGCTCGCTCCAGTGCTCTCACAAAGGCTGGCTACTCTTTTTATAAAGCCCCATAGGGGAGCATAGAGTGATTCAAGCGCAATGTGCTAAATAATAATAAAAAATCTAGTGTGCCACGCCTGGCAACGTTATAAATCTAGCCGGAACGGCGGCACTGTGTCAGCCAAGTTCGGAAAAAGGCAGCTTACTGACCGTATAACAGTGAAACTATTTCCGGATAGGCAGCTATTTCTAAAGGATCTATAACACAACTCTGCTTTTTTTAGTTTAATCGGGCTATCAATAGCTAATTGTATTGCAGACAAGCTGATAACCTGACACTACAGTCTTCTGAATGACTCAAACTTTTCTCAGACGTTGTGTAAATGGCCGTTTTTACAGCCGTTTACACCCTGCCTACCCCGCAACCAAGGGATATAGGCATGATATGCGTATGTTTAAATAACTACTCATTAAACCTCCCATTCCATTACTTACAGCCTGCCCGTTTTAAGTCACTATTTGCCCCGCTTATATTATTTGTTTAACCTAGTACCTACTTAGAATATTAGCTTTCTTAAGATCTTCTACATTACGAATCTTAATGCGCTCTACTCTACCGAAATTTGCATTAACAAGATACAAAGAAAATGCACCATTCACTTGAGAGTTGGCAAACCTTTATGCAGAACCGTCTCATATGCATCTAAGATACTCATCTCGCAATCAGTAAAGAGATTTATAATATAACACATACCTACCTAAAGACTCAAAATTATAAAAACGGGGTTTTTACCGCGATACGATTTGTTTTGAATTGTCCAACATTTTAATGGAATTGCTTGGGCCATGGTTACGGAGCAAATGATGTTTTATGGGTGGGTAGATGGGAGTCTTTTTTTATAGTTACGCATTTCTGCATATCCTCTTCCTACGATTCTGTCGATCATTACCGGAAGTCACTCGAAAGTCGGAAGATTAAAACAGTTAACTGATAATACCTAAATTATAGTATTTCATCCAGCATATTCCACATTGGCAAAAAAATCTATTAGGATGCTTAAACTTGACCAAGGATAAACCCGAAACGGAAAAACGTGAAATTAGAATACGCGACCATTCGAGTTAGGAAATGACTGAAAAGTGTAGTGTGTTCATTTCATAAGAAAATATTTTTCAGCATGTCTTATCGCCGAGATACACGTGAAGTTACGTACTTGGCACGCAATACAAATTCCTTGACTCGCTCAACTCAGTCTACTAGACAGCTAGACAAGCGGAGTGTCGGTTGTACGACATGCATGTACCACCATCACAAAGTATTAAAGGAGCTCAGAAGGTTTAGAAAACAAAGGACTAAACGCCGGGGGGAACAACAAAGTGGTGTGGGTTTGTTACCACTGCGGAGAGAACGGTCACAGCTAAATAAAAATGTACGAGAGATTTGCCAGCAGTTGGTCTCACACGTAGCGGTTGTTCTGAGAAATCGTGCTTTCATGTTTTGTCAAAAAGTTCTGAAAGTTCCTGTTCATATTCTTAGGTATAATGTGGGTAGTCCCTTTATTTTTAATTGGTTTTCATTTACTGAGTGGGGTTTGTAAGGTTTAAAATATCAGTAGAAGTGGGTGTCTAAGGAAATTAATTATAATTAGGTATTATTATAGGGAACTCTGTGGTTTACCAGTTGATGTACCTACTAGACCTGCTACCCATATAAATACGCACAGATTTCTTGCTACACATATTGATATATATGTGGAGATTTCTTGGAATAACAGTCCTAATGGTTATACGTGATCCGTAAAGATATGAGTTCCTGCGAGGTTACTGAAGAAGATACGTCCAACAGAGCGAAGTGGACAGAGAAGACGAGAAAGGCAGACCCCACCATCAAATGGGAATAATAATTGCCAAGGAGAGAGAGGAGAAAGAGAACAGTCCTAATCAAACTTTTTTTTGTTATGATATGACAAATCATTTATTTCCTAAGTTAGCTACCATTACTCCACTCAGATTCTTTTCAGGACCGTAGGTAGGTATTTCGAATTCACTCCCTGCATAGAACCTGCATAAGAGCAAGGAGCAGAGTGCATTCAGGTAAGAAAAATAATGCTAGTTTATAAAATATACTGTGGCGCAGTCTACAGATGACATTTTAGCTTAAAAAGATATCTCTTTGCTAGAAACGGCTCAGGATAAATGGTAGCGACTTCAGTCTTCCTGTGTTCCGCTAATCCTAGCCTTTGGGGGTTTAAACGGGACGCTAGACAAGCCATCTTCATGTATTTTTATTTATTTTGTTTTCGTGGTTTGTTTAAAGATCTTTTCTTTTCTACAGTTTTGCATGGATATATTACGCGTAGTATGGAGACACAACGATACAGGATCGTAGAAGGTCTCTACACCACGTAGAGATAAGACTATCTACGCAAAGCGCGTAGCAGCTTACTACGACGACGACGTTCAAGATACAACATTTGTCTCCGATATATAATTTCATAGTAAATACTAAGTACCTACTGCATTTTGAACTCTAATCAGATTCCAAAATCAATGCAAACCAGGGTCTAGTCAAGTGCTCTATTCTAATAAATAACGTTAAAAATTCTTTCCTACTGATTCTTTTCATAACATTCCAATCAACATAAAAGTAATCTTGATTTTTAGAACCGATTTAGCAGTTCAAATTACATAGAATTAAGTAAGTAGGCACTTGATTGAGCACTTTCGTCGTAGTAGGGTTCTACAAAACAACTTTATTCGACCTTATTGTGGAGTAAATTACGCAAGAACAGGGCGTCCTATTTAACGATAAGCGTAATAGATCGCGCCCTTGACTGGCACGCGGT